AGTAAAAACACAATTGATCCGCAATGTTCTACGGTACTGAATTAACGAAACAAAAAAAAAATGTACAATAAAGCAAACCTCAAATATGCGGCCAAAAGCACTCAAACAAGCGAGCCAAATATGATGTCCAGAGAGAGGCAAACAGTCGCTCCCGTTCTCAAACCACGCAAAATTCAAATGTGCCGGGCATAGAGNTAACAGATAAATAAAGATGTGTGGTGTTCATGATCGTGAAATGTCAATATAAGAGCAACACACAGATAGAGTTATTGCACCATAAATCATTATGGGTTCGGAAGGATTTTCAAAACATTCAGTATGAAATACAATCAGTGCTTCTGGGAGTTTGTTCCAGCTGTTCATTACACGTTTTGTTAGAAACTGTGCTCGACCTTTCAGCCTGGAACGCTCTTTTGCCAGCTTCAAAGAGTGTCCACGTAGTGCCACGTTGTCAGTGGCAGTGAACAGTGGAGCACCATTATTAGTTATGCCCTTTATACTCTTAAAGGCTTCAATCAGATTACCCTTAAGGCATCTCCTCTTCAGGGAGAATAGGTTCAGTATAGACAGACGAGTTGGGTAGTCTTGCCCTCTAAGATGGGGAAGCACCTCGTGAACCTACGTTGGACCGCCTCTAGGACCTTCTTGCCCCACACCAGGTATGGAGACCACGCTTGGATGCAGTATTCGAAGTGTGGTCTTACATACGCTTTATATAGGGGTAACAGCAAGTCTGGATTCCGCGAGACAACTGTTCTCAGCAGTTGGTACAGAGCGTTGTTCGCCAGTAGGCATTGGTTCTCTGAGTTGAAATTACTGGTGACCTGAATTCCCAGGTCCCTTATTTCGTCACTCCTTTGCAGTGTCACTGGGTTATCAATGTTAATCCACCTTACCGGGTCTGTGACTTAAGTCCGTTTAAGCTGTCTACACTTGGCCACGTTGAGCGGTAGCTCCCAGTCTTCGGTCCAGCGTATGAGGGTATCCAAATCCCTCTGTATGGACTAGTTTGAGGGGAACCCCACCAGTTTCCGGTCATCGGCGAAAATAAATACTGGGTTCTCTAACCTCTATGGCAAGTCTTTCACATAGGCTAGGAATAGGAAAGGGCCTAAAACTGACCCCTGTGGGACTCCACTTGCTATCCTGCCCTCCGTCACTTTGGACCCTTCCTTGTTAACATGGGAAGACCTTCCTCTCAGGAAGCCCTCCGTCCATGCAAGCAGTTTCGGGTGAATTTCGAAGGTCCTAAATTTCAGGAGCAGTAGCCTGTGGTTTACTGAATCAAAGGTCTTTTGGAAGTCCAAGTAGCAGACCTCCACCCTCTCCCCTCTATCCTTTTTGTCAGTGGTTTCATTTAAAACCACCAGTAGATTCGCGATACACGATCTCTTCCTCACGAACCCGTGCTGGATAGCTGATAGCAGATGGTGGAGCGCAACATGAACCACCACCTTGTCCCTCAGTAGCCTCTTCAGTATCTTTAACGGTACCGAGGTTGGAATGACCGACCGATAGTTTACTGCTTTATTTCTGTCCCTTTCTTTGTGTATGGGGACAATATTCGCCACCCTCCAATCTCCCGGCAGCCGCCCTTCCTGGAGATAATTGTTAAACAGCTTTGCTAACGGTGCTGCAAGCACCCCAGCCAGTGGTTTCAAGAGGGCTAGGTGGATATCATCGGTCCCACTGCTCTTCAGCGCTTGGAGTTGAGCCCTTACCTCAGCTTCGGCGGTTCGGAAAATAGCAGTGGTGGTGCCTATCCACAAGGAAGGGCCCAGGGACTCGGTAGGAAATTATAGGCCGGTCAGTTTGCGGTCTATTCCACTGAAGATTATGGAAAGGATCCTCAGGGATCGCATAGCAGAGCACGTTCTAAGCCGGGGTTTGATATCTCCTAACCAGCATGGTTTGTGCACAAGAAGTCCTGCCTATCAAACTTGCTGGACTTCATGGACAAGGTCACCCAAAAGGTTGATCGGGGGGAGCGTGTGGAAGTTTGTTACCTAGACTTCCAAAAGGCATTCAACTCAGTCAACCACCGACTGTTGATCGAAAAACTAAAGACCTTCCGTCTGTCTGAACAACTTGTCAGATGGATTACGGGGCACCTACTTGGCCGGTCCTTCTATGTCAGGGTAGAGGGCGAAGCGTCTACTAGGGGGGCAGCCTGTAGTGGTGTGCCCCAAGGGTCCGTGCNTATTCCTTATCTACATAGATGACCTGACCAAGAGGATAGTACAACCGTCCTTCGTGTTTGCCGATGACATAAAAATTATCGGTGACCCCTCCACCAACGCCATTCAAGATGACCTAGATGAAGTCCAGAAGTGGAGGAGTGACTGTTACCACTAAATGCTAGCAAGTGTAAACAGCTTCTCTTAGGGGATCCATCGAAGAGGCTAGATTGATCAATGGCACGGGACCCACACCGGTGGAAACAACTGACGAGGTCATGGACCTAGGTATCGTCATGCATGCTTCCTTCCAGCCGACCAGACAGTGCCAGCTAGCCGCAGAAAAGGCTTCTAAGGCGCTGTTCTCGCTGAGAAGAACAGTATCATCGAGGGATCCTGCGGTCTTACTGCCTCTCTACAAGGCCTTCGTTCGCCCACATCTCGAGTAATGCGTACAGGCATGGGCGCCGAACATCGTACGCGACCAAAAGGCTCTAGAGCACGTCCAGAGACGATTCACTAGGCTTTTTCCTGCCCTAAGAACGATGTCACACTTGAGGCGCTTGAGAGCGCTAAACTTGTTCTCCCTACCTCATAGACCAATGAGAGGTGACCTAATAGAGGTTTTCAAGATACTGAAGGGACTCTCACAACCTAGCTGGCAACTCTTCTCCCTCAGTTAAAACCCAGCCGTAAGACGACACCAGCTAAAGCTGGTCAAATCCTGTGCAGTAAAGAGAGAAAGGGCAAACTACTTCTCTCATAGAGTGGTCAATGCCTGGAATAGACTTCCTAAAGAGGTTGTTTCGGTGTCCACACTGGCGCTGTTCAAAAGAAGGCTTGATGAGGTGTGGGACATGATCTTCCCCGAATCAGCCTAAGGAAGAAAGCAACAGTCCTTGATGGTAGCTATTGCTTTTAGCTTTCCCGAACACCACTCCCCTTCCATCTTTACTCTTAATCATATCATCTCATTTTACTTCAACTACCTTCACTTCATCTCCAGCTACCTATAACCCCCTCCCCGTGCTAGCTAACTTTCTTACTTACTAAATTACTCAAGTACTTTTCCTTTCCCATCCTAATCTATCTTCTCATGCCTGCGGGTTCTCTACTGTTTGCTGGAGGGGTACTCGGACCTCCTGGTTAGCCCGTGACTGATCAGCTGGTGCTGCTTCCATCGACAGCAAACCGGATTGGCGTCCCTGCTATGCGGCCGTACCCCTGCACCACCAAGGACCGATTAACAAACTGCCGAAGCGTTACGAGACACACGTGGTCCGTAGACGCAAGAACCTGTACTATTATACTGGCTCAAGCCGCAAGTCCTGTGAACTGTCCTGTCTTGTCCTGACAACTCATAAATTCTGAAACTTGCGAAATGTTGGAAGTAAGTTTGGCTAGGCCTAAGCTGTTATTTAAGCAACGACAGCGGAAACCCGAAAGTAAATCTGATCGATGCAAGGGAAGCGTGTGATACAGAGTTCACAGTGGGGAATTGTGCAGGTGCGGTCTTTTCGAGCTCATTAAAAGCACGATAACAGTTAGGGCGAAATTTAGTTCTGTAAGTGTCGAAGTTGCAATATCTAATGAAGAAACGTCCTCTAGAAGATCGATATCGCCAAATAATGGTGGCGCGTGCAAAATCTCGATGGTACACTTGATTCTACCCGGTAGAGAAGAGTAACGGTAGTCAAGCTTTTGTAATTAATCAACCTGATCGATGGGCCAGGTCACTACTTGATAGCTGAACCTTGATGGTTCTGATAAAGTTGTCATGGTTATGTAACCATTTCCTGATAATCCTCAATCATATAGGACTGGTTGGAAGCTGAACCTGTTCTGATATTGGTCACCAGCGTAGGGTGAACATGCTGAAGCTAACCGGTGTTGACGGCCTGCCGGGAAGTCTTCTTACGAGTCTCAATATGCGCGCGACCTCCTAGTGTCTCGTTGCCCGAAGTAGACAAAAACGCTCGTGGGAGTCGTAGACGTTTATTGGCGAATCGGGGTACTAGATAGTACCGAAGCGTACCAAGGTGACGCTAAACAAAGCAAGCAATAAATGCAATAGCAGAGCGAATGCGTGTCACACATGTGGCGTGGGTTTGAACAGGACCCAGCTTATATCTACGCCTGAGCGGAAACCGTGATCGGTAAAACAAAGAAAATATCACGGTTCGAGTCAGAGTTGATTGTGAAGAAAATATGAACGGAAAACGTCCTCGTGGATTGCTCCTTTTCTTCGCACAATCATGGTCACTACAATGCTACTGGTTCGTAATTTAATGATTACGTCCAGCTCGAATGGATCTACCAGGAAACTTAGAGAAAAACAAGGGGCAAGAAAAGTAAACTGCCGTGAACCGTAAACTGCTAAACTGTCGGTTGAATAACCGCTACACGGTGACCAGATGCGTACTCTTTTTGCTGCCGCTGCATGATGCGATTAACTCAAAATCGCGAATCCACTTCTTCACATCATCGTCTGTGAACGCGTTCGGCCAAGGTACCTTTATTCCGTTGTGCTGACTTGGGCGACGGCACCAATTTAATGAGAATGTAGCGGTTCTTCAACCGACAGTTTCGCAACAGGAAGTTTTCTCTTCTTACCTCTTGTTTTTCTCTAAGTTCCTTGATAGATCCATTCAAGCTGGACGTGATCACCAAATCACGTGCCAGAAGTACTTTCACCCTGCGCTGGTGACTAGTAGCAGGATAAGTTTAGTTTCTAACCAGTCCTGTATAATTGAGGACCATCAAGGCATGGTACATAACCATGGCATACCTATCAGATCCATCAAGGTTCAGAAATTAAGTAGCGACTTAGCTTATCAATCAAGTAGCTAAACTACCGTTAGGCTTTTACCTTCTTCCTTAAGGACCCTTATCCACACAATCAAGCGTACCGTCGAGGTTAGGCATTTATCGCCATCATTTGGTGACAGCTATCTTCCAGGGAAAGTTTCTTAATTAGATATAGCAACTTAGACATTTCCAGGATTAAGTTTTGCTTTTACTATTATCGTGCTTTTAATGAGCTCGATAAGCGTGCAGCGACTCAATTCTCCACAGTGAGTTCCCTATCGCACGCTTTCGTTGCATTGATGAGATCTACTTACAGGTTTCAGCTGCCGTTGCTTAAATATCAGCCTAAGCCTAGGTAAACCTACTTCCAACCTTTCTGAAGATCTCAGAATATATCGTTTACAATAAACGCAATCTTTGGTTCTGTTTCCATTTGGGACGGATATTCGAAANCGTGAGTAGACATTAGTGACAGGTTCTGACGAATATCAGAAACCATCGAGACACTAAAAGAAGGCGAGTCGGCTGGCAAAACGTTTATTGATCCAATTCAAAAGCAACCGGTGTATGCGCTCAATTATACACAATAAATTCTCACCCACGTGGCAAGATGATTATTACCTCATTCTGTTGGTTTTGGTCCGCACTTAGCACGTACGTTGCCTCTTCTTCCGCGTGCCGTTCTGATTGGTTTGGCTCGATCGTAGCGCGAGGTACGCTGATCGACAG